ATATATACATATACATACATACATACATACACACACACACACTATAATTTGCTGCCAAAAACATACATTTATCGGTAAATTATACAAAGTTACATGCTGAGCATCCATTCAACAGAACCAGACTGTACAAAGAATTTGCACCAAATTTTCTACTTGCCCTGCACATATAAGTTAAAGTAGTTTTATAAAAAAGCCATATTTAATGCTGAGCACTAAATACAGTTGCAATATATGTGCCCTTCTTTTTAACCTGAGAGATCATGCAGTAATTCCCTTGCCAGGATGGCTGATAAAGCTAAGGACATGTAAAAATACATTAAAAAAAGAAAACGTCGCACAACTGTACACATTGGCTGAGGTCCATTCAATACTTGGATGGAAGTGCAGAGTGGGAAACAAGCAATAGTCTTTAGGTAGAGTGGATAAAAGTCAATTTTCTTTTAAAGCACAGACCTGAAAAATACAAAGCAAAGGTTAGAATCACAGTCAGATATGCAGGGCCTGCTACAGGCTCCAAGTCAGTTAATTATATTATCACAATTTCTATTCTTCATTAAACCCCAACTTCCCACGAATTACTTCAGTGCAGCCTACCTGGTAAAATACTTTTCTTCCTTATTTCAGCAATATTCGCTAAGTGACCCTGCCCAGTGCTGCATAGCCTTTGCAAAGAAAACTTCTATACAGCTGCTCTTCCTAATGCGCACAAATACATCAGCCCCATTCATTCCAAGAATAAGCCATACTGATAGTAGCCTCCAGACTTCCAGTGGAGTATGGGTCATCCGTGGGAATGAATAGTGCTGCAATGCACATGCAGAGCACGAAAAGGAGCCAAACATGATTTTTTCCTGTGAAAGGCTGTTCAAGCTCTGGACAGGGCTGCACAGTAAATATATTGCAGAACAAAGAGAAGGCTAAGTATTTTACCAGGCAGGTAGACAACTGCTCTAAAGGTTGCCCTTGCCAGAAAGCACAATTAGGCCCTGGACCTCACTGCAATTACACTGTAGTTGAGCAAATAACCTGGAACCAAGACCCAACCCAGCCTGTAACTGGACAGCAAAGAAGCGGCAGCACTCTGATAAGATTACAGACCACAACAAAGCAGTAAAGTCTCATCGCCTCAGAATGCAAACCCTCTCACTCTAGTGAATGCCGTGTAGGGGATTACAGAAGGATGATATCACTGAACACGTTCAGGTACTTATTTTGGTTCTAGGTCGAAATGCATTTCATATTCACCATTGAGGGCCTCTGATTGGACAAGGGAATGGCAGCTGGTTGTGGAGATCAGTCGTAAAGCAAGCTAAATCAAGCCCTAACCAGTTGTGAATAAGCGCACTACACAAGCTCAAACAAAAACCTCCAAAAACTTAATTGCAGTACAATGGGCATATGAACTACACCCTGTCCTTCTCCCCTGCTGCCACTCCCCCCTCACATTTGCCGGGAGTTCCTGGTCTTCAAAATGACAGACATTTGTTTTAAAATAAAATTTGTCCTACATAACCTCTTATTAACCCTTATTTTTAATGCTCTTCAGCTCCATCTAGGGGTTATAATGCAGTATTTTGCTGATATTACATTTGAAAAGAAGAAAACCTGAAAAGAAAAACTACTACTACTACTATTATGCGTTTCTGCCCCCATTCATCACTACAAATATAAAAACACAACATTTAAAATAAAAAAAATGTAAATAATAATTTGTAAATAACTTGCGATACTTTGTACCAGAATCATAATTTTAGTGTCATTTTAAACAGGACAAATTAGACAAAATGTATACTTTAATCCACAGTAAAAGCAACATTCTAAAACATTGATTGAAGTAGAATAGTGATTTTCTTTTAAGTTATGATTTTGTCTATGGAATGCATAATCCCCCCCCAAAATCAATTTCCTTGCTTGTCCAAAAAAAGATTATATTTGTGTTAATTTGTTATAATTAATGAGAATACCAGCCAGGTCACTGTCTACAAGGAGTTTGCATGTTCTTGCTGTGCTTGCGTGGGTTTCCTCCAGGTACTCTGGTTTCCTCCCACACTCCAAAGACATGCTGGTAGGTTAATTGGCTCCTGTCTAAATTGGCCCTCGTATGTATATATGTGAGATGGGGACCTTAGATTGTAAGCTGCTTGAGGGCAGGGACTGATGTGAATGTGCAATGTGTAAATTGTCGGCGCTATATAAATACCAATAATACATAAAAAAAAAAAAATTGTAAAGAGACCCATATAAGATTGCGCTTTACCATAGGGGATGCACAAGTGTAAAAACTGGTAAAATAACATGAATCCAAAAACAAAGAGGTACAGAGAAAAGGCTTCTAGAGATAACAGATTAAACAGTAGGCACCCTGCAGTCTACGGACAGGTTCACTTTAAAAAATAGGTCATGTGATACCAAGACCAATTATTCAAGATAACAGCACTTACTATACGTTTGCCTTATTTTTGAAAGGTACAGACCAACTTATATGTGTTTTCTTACCATTCCCTTATAGTGGATAACTCAGTGCTCCAATTGTCGAATCCTTTCCCCCACCACACCCTTTTGCCTTGGGGTCGAAGTCGGCCTCCATCCAGCAATCTCCGTTCTTGCTAGTCTATCACTGGTATATTTTCTTCTGGTGCTGAAACTGTCATCATCAACCTAAATCAACAATAAAAATAAGAGTAGAATCAGAGCACAATATCAAAATCCAATAGAAAGCTGCTAGAGAAAACATTTTCTGAACATTTAATGCACAATTTCCTACTAAAACCAAAAACTAATTCAAGTGGACAGTGGTAAGCAAACATGTTAACTTCTTGATATTTGGGGGCTTGATTATGGTCTGATCCTCATCCAAGATTGAAGAAAATAGGTCACCAGCACTCCATAAGTTAAAATGAATGAGTCCTTTTAATGGACAATGATGTCACAGATTTCTGTGACATCATTGTCCATTAAAAGGACTCATTCATTTTAACTTATGGAGTGCTGGTGACCTATTTTCTTCAATCTTGTGTTTTGCACGGTGCCATCCGTGAAGTTACTTCGAGGACCATTTATTTGATTGTTGGCCGGGACTGCTGAAAGGTGTGCGGAGGGCACCTCCATCAATTGCATCTGATCCTCATCCAAGACTACCCATAGACATGATATCACTACCAGATCTAGCCCATCAATCTACCTGGATTGAGAAAACAATAATTTGCCTATGGAACTCCACGGATGACCAATTTGTGAGGAAAAGGGGAGCAACAACAATTATTCAGAACCGAGTTTTCAAAAAACAAAAATCGCTATTGTTTTAGTTTTTTTGCCAGTACAAGATGTGTCTTCTCATTGCATTCAGCCAATACAACTGTGTGTGTTCATGAAAACCTCTTTTGGAAGTCGGGTCCTCTAAACATTACTTTATGTCTAAAGTTAGCATCCATCTTAATAGTAAATGTCTTTAAAATGTAAATGCCAGTCTTAGCACATACACACACTCTGAAAAAATTACATAAAAGAAGATTCTAGTATTTTGGTCAAATAAGGTGTGGGTTTATGTGTTACCTGCTCTTCACAACATAATTTTTTTAATTGCATAAAAGGCCTGATCAAAAGAAATTCCTATGGAATCCAGGAGTTACTGGGAGTTAATAGTTCAAATGACAGGAAAGTCTTAAAGAGCTTTAACTAGTCCTTAGTCATGCATATAGCAATAGTTTACAAATGAAAGAAATATGGCTCCATACAATCCTGAAACAAGTGATTAATAACCCTATTGTGCCAGCTGAGGACCTGATGGCTCACTGGATCTTTTGCCCTTGATATTGATAAAGAGTGGTGTTCTTGGAAAGAGTACCACTGCACCCCAAAACAATAAACTCACTGCCTTTTTCAGTTTTGCTGAAGAGCACCGGTTTGTTTCCCAGCAATAAAAAAAAAAAAATGTATTTGTGGTGAGGGGGTATAGCCTACCAATGGCTTTGATCATACACACCTTCTGAGAGCTCCTGAGTCTGACCTAGAATCTCACCCCAAGGAACCATTATCAGCCCCCTGAATGTCTTTTACATAGGACAGAGCAATGCCTGGGAGGTTCTGCACACAAGAGCCGTGCACCTTGGCATGGTAAAGGGGCTATAGACTCTTTATTTCAGAAGTCCAGTGAGCCTTCACATGCCATGTGCAGACAAGATGGCTCCTTTTCGGGGAAACATGGTAGTAATGCTACATAGTCTGGTGTAAACATTACAGATTTTGATTTAATGTATTCTTTTTTCATAATCATTGGAACACATGCAAATGGGAGATGTTCTTTTGACACCACCAGCCTGACATACATTAGCTAGGAGCTTCTCTCTCTGTGCCCTAGTGTCCAAACAGAGCTTGGCTTGGGCTGCAGCACCCTGATCCTCAGATGCCACTACAATCAAAAGTACACAATCTCTACATTGCCTCCTGTCCTGTGGTCCACAACAATTTCCGTGCTTCCTTCTCTCTTCCCATCACTTTCCCCATTCTCACTTCCCCCCTCCTTCGAGGTGTCAGTTGGGTGCCAGCCCCCCCACCCCCCTGAAAGATTTTGCTATGTTTCTTGAGCCATGATGACGATCACTTTTGTAAACCTGAATGCTGAAGAGTTTAATAATCCTAAGAGATTGCTGTTCCACTACCATAGGCACAAGCTTAAAGCACATGTGTTTTTCCTACAAGAAACTAATTTCCAAACCATCGCATCCCCTCTCCTTTCCTCTAGGTACTACAAACTTAGTAAACAAGCAATAACCCTGATCAAAGACCAAAAGGAGTGCCAACTGGCTTTAACTCCTCCCTCCAGCTCTATAACTGAAGTCTTGCCAGGCGTTAAAGGCAGGTTATTTTTTTCTCTGTTGTTAACTCTGCAGTAAACCTTATACAGTCCTTACCAAACGTTTTGAGAATGACACAATAATTAATTTTAAAAATAAAAATCTGGCAGGGGCCCTAGCTTTTCCCTACTCTTCTAATAAAAATACTTATGTCTGTCTGCATTGCTGTTGGAGAGTTCCTCTCTCTTACTGCCTGGTAAAACAGCAGGACAGGAAGTGTCGGTAAATCTCTCTAACCGATCCCTGGATAGCAGTAAAAACCTGGATAGTGGTTCCAATCCTTCCCAACAGTATCCAAAGCCAAGAAAAAAGTTTGGGAACTAATGAAACCTAATAATGTGACCACGAAAGCAGTACAGGATACACAATAAATATTTCACTTACCTCAACACTTGAGTGACTCCTGGAAGGATATCCCAATAAAGAGTCATTTGATGTATTTCTTCTCGACACAATCTCGGTTTCAGTTATGGTGCTCTGGCTCCTTTTAGACAAATATTCTGGAGTAGTACTCCAACTGCTCACACTTGTACTTTTATTTCTTGTGTAAAGCTCGTGATTACGTAACCTTAAAGACTTTTCTTCACCAAAGCATGATTTACGTCTACTATTGGTTTCAGAAAAATCCCTGTCAATTCTATCTAGTTCTTCAGTGGAACCATAGACCCCTTTCCTCCAACTTCTAGCAGTTCCACGTTTACTGTCCAAATGGTTGGTTTCAAATCTGGTATGACTTTTCCATGTGACTGGTTCACTCTCAAGCTCATTATCAACTCCCTTTGCTTGCGCCTTCCGAATCCTGCGGTCAATGGCCCTGGTAATTTCTTTGTGAGCCAATGTCTGGTCCGCATTTGACACTTTGAGTACTATATCCTCCTTGTTAATAGATATTTCAAGTGGTATACTTATGTTGTTTTTTAACACTGCCTGATCATTTGCAGAAAGTCTAATATTACTAGTTGAAGTATGTCTTTCCCTTGTGGGCTCATCTATACTTGTGCGAGAGGAGATAGCTTCAGATGGATAAATCTTAATGCTGGTTGTCACTTTGTTTGGGGTCGCATTTACCGGAGATCTGCTCGACTCGGAGCTTGATCTTGCCCTGTAGTCACTCATACTTTCTTTCATATCTTTTTCAATAATAGCAGGTTTAATGATCACTGTGGATTGCAAAGCTTCTCTTGGACTACATGATCTTGTTCGAGTTGCTGTGTAAGAATTAATCTCTGTATTTTCTAAGCTATCGGAAGAGGATATTTTTCTAAAGGATTCCGTTGATACCTCTCTTTGGAAAGAAGGAATGTGATTTTCAAAAGATGATGTGGTCAAGTTTTCTTGCAGTGTATTTTTTTCTTTAGGACTATACTGTCTCCTGGTGTGAAGTCCTGACAACTTAGCTTTTCTGTCAGGATCCCTGTAGTCTAAACGGTCTAAAATATGCGGTTTTTCTGGAATTAGTGGCTTTGAGGATGTAGCTCTTGTTTTATCTCTACCATAGTAAGATCTTTGGGTATTTGAAGTTTGATTGCTTTGTGGATCAACTTCTTCATTTAAAATTAGCGATTTTTGATTACTTTCAGTTTGCTCACGATTATTTGTGATGCTATCTCCTCCTGAGATGTCTGAATATTTAGACAATCTGTCCCTAGATGTAGGTTTAAATTCAAGGTCTTTTGAGTTTATATGTGGCCTATGTTCATTTTCCCCAATAAAATTACCATTTTCTTGAGCTTTACTAACATCTGGGCTGTGATTAACCAATTCTGAGCCAATGGTGGCTGAACAATTTTCAATGGGTACTATTTCTTCATGAAGGTTTGTGGCGACTGTGTTGTCAGAATAGTCTTCAAATGGTCTCTCTTTATTCTGTACATTATCTAACAAAATGTCTTTCTTTAAATTTGCTTTACTGGAATAATCTTCACCAAACAGTTGTATGGACCTGTCTGTCTGTTTACCTGTAGACGCTTTCCAAGACTTTTGACTAACTTGCTCTTGGACAGCTGGTGGATACCTACTTAAAACAGATGGCTGATCTTTATATTTTTTTAACTCATTTTGTGCTGAGCCAAAGTCTTTACCACTCGGGAAATATGAAGACATCAATGTTTTATCCTCTTGTTTGCGTAGGTTTCCTATTGTGGTATCATTCAGAGGAGATCTTGACGACTTTCTACTGCTTGAGCTACTGTTTGATAATTGCCTCTTATAAAGAGATTCTGAATTTCGAGACCTTTCACTCTTCAGCTGTTGAGGCGATACATCTCGAGAAGTATATTTTGAAATGGATGGTTCAGTTGATGCAAACTTATTTTTGGTTCTTTCATTTTTTATTTGATTGTGTGATATATCGTTACTGTCCAGAACCCCATTTTCAACTTCTGTAAACTGGTTAGCTTTCCTTTTTAAAGTCTCCAATTCATCAGTTAGCTGTCTGTTTTTATTCTGCTCACTGATGACATTTTCTTGTAGTTCACAGTTTTTTTCTTTAACTTGTCTCAGTTCTTCCTCTAAATCCTCAAAGTGTTTAAGCTGATTCTTAAGTTTTTCAATTTCTTGATTCAGTTCTTTTATTTTGTTGTCTTCTTGATGTGTATTCTTTTCATTTTCACTGCTGATTTGAATTTCGGATTGTTTAATATAATCAGAACTCACCCTTTGTAATGTCTTAGACGTTAGTGTATCTTCAATTTTTAAACTATTGCGTTCTCCATGCTGATCAGAGGACCTCTCCAAAAGATTGGATTCATTTCTTTTCTGGTCTCCCATTATTTTCTCTTTAGCCTCCAGCTGCTCTCTAAGTTCCAAAATTATTTTTTCATTTAGCTTTTCCCGCTCTAGGAAACGTTTTCTTTCATTAGCAAAACTAAGAGTTAAAGACTTAATTTTATCCAGCTCACTTGTTAAAAGCTGTTCAGCTTTATCCAGCCTATTTTCAGAAGATTCCAGTTCTTTTACCCTGGTCATTAGTAACTCCAGTTCAGAAGATAACTTCTTTGACATATTTTTTTCTTCATTTAAGCTAAGACAGAGTTGTGAGCAATCACTTTTGCTTTTGCTAAAAGCTTCTTCCAGCTTCTCCAGCTCACTCATTCTTTTTTGGAGTTGCTCAATTTCTAGTCTAAGTTCCCGGGCTATATTTTCTTCATTTTCTAGCTTCTCTTTTATCAGCCTGCACAAATCTTCAGCCTTCTTCACCTCTTCATCTTTCCCTTCAAGCTTCATTACTCTTTTCCTTAACCCTTCTGCCTCTGCCAGCATGCTTGAATTACTACCTTCTGCCTGAATGATTTTATCCTGAAGATCCAGAACCTCATCTTCTGCCTTTTGTAGGTTCCTTGTTGCTTCTTCTAGTTCATCTAAACGCCGGCTAAGACTTTGTAGCTTAAATCGCAGATGGCGACTTGAATGTTCCATTTTTGCACAGTATAACAATGACTCTCAGGAATTTTAATGATTTTAATTTGGTAATGTCAAATCCAAAATGAGATCACCAATTATCCTTTTTCTTCCTGATAAGCACACCTTGAATGACATCCAGAGACCATCTTAGCCTAAAAAACAAAAAAGGAAAAAATTGGTTTCTTTTTATAGATTTAATTCTTATAACAACTACATTAATTGAAGCTGAATTCCAGGCAGATATAAACAATAGTTAATGCAGTTACGCATTGATCAAACATTTTTTTAACACGGTTATTTACTAAAAGGTGAAAAGTTTGGAGAAGGCAGGAGAAGTGAACAATCTAGGACAACATAGCTGAACTGGAAAGTGAGCTGAAGTGAAGAATTCTTCCAAATCATCTATTTTGGCCAAGATTGTTCACTGCACTGCCATCTTCAAACTCTTCACCCTTTAGTAAATAAACCTCTAAATGTATCTTTTAAGGTAACCATTGTAATTTATCTTGGATTTGCTTTAAAACAACCCAGTCGCTATTGTAGTTCTGTGAATATCTGTAAAAGAACACTGTATATACTCTCCTTTCCTGCTGTTGAATGATGCTTCTATGGTGAGAAATCTTCTGCAGAAGTCCAAAGGGAAACAGACGCTTTCAGGTATGTTGATCTCCTGGATCCCCCACAGCTCTCACTAGTTCCCCTCTTTGACCAACACATCATGGTGAAGGTCAGAGGAAGGACCCGTGAGAACAACCCAACAGTAGAAGATTTAATTTCAACATTCAACAGCTTCCTAGCCAATCATGAAGCCAAGTCGTGATGTGCTGCCTGGCTTCCTCATTGGCTAGGAAGCTGGCTTCATGGTGTGAGGTAGCCTGGCTTCCTGACCAATCTAAAAGCCAGGCGGCGGTCATGACCTGCCGCCCACCTTCCTGATTGGCCGGGAAGCCAGCTCCATATTCCCTTGCGGCACTGCCAGTCAGAGGGAGATCTCCTTCTGACTGGAATTTCCGGTATTAGGGTTAAGTATCAGAGCATTTGGGCGTGGACGAGTACTCACCCAAATACTTATCGGCACATCCCTAGTGATCACCTGAAGATGTCTGCTCTATAGGCCTGGAACCAGCTTAAAGATAAGCATGCAGATTCACAACAATGTTACACAGCGAAGTTTTACACAATGGAGGATTTCTCTAGCAAAATAGAAGAAGAAAAAACGAAATACAGAACATTCCTCAAAACTGAAGACCATAACAGTTTATCCATCTCTGCAAATTAACATTCTGTTAAGTAGTCAGAATTTTGTGCTTTGAAATAAATATACAATATGAATCAGCAGTTAGATGAAGGCTCAACTGTTCCGATGCTGATATGACAAAAAGAGATAGCTGCCTTTTATTTTTTTCGAAAATGCAAATGTCGGTCTGCAAAGAATTCACAAATACCTATTTTTTATTTATTTTAAATAGAAAAATCACTGCTGTTGATGGCACACAACTTACTCCTAAGTTAATATTTAAACGGTAATTTTTTTCATTATCGCACAAAATGTTAAAATTCACATTTTAAGCCTGAAGAAGATCACTTAAAACTCCCAAAACATTAAATATTTTCTAAAAGCAGATACTCAGTAGAATAAAAATGGTGGCAGTTGCAATTTAAGTCACAAAATTGGGCTACTGTTTCTCAAATCTATTATTTTCAGAAAATAATAAATTCAAATTATTTTAATGAACACAGCAGTAGAATACCCGTTTTTTTTTTTTTTTTTTTGATCTGACATAAAAAGGAGGAGGTTTTTTGGGGTTAGCAGATATCACATACTGTAAGTCAAGTCTCAAATTGTGAAACAGTGAAAAATGGTATTCAAAATGGTCCATAGGCAACATTTTAAAAGTCTTTACAGCTCATCAATTTAGAGTTAACAGTAAATGATGGCCCTAGAATTATTGCCCTCACTCTGGTATGTGCAACGATACCAAACCGGAGGTGCAGTGGTTTTCGTATGCGTGTGCAGAGGATGCTCGGCAAACATCTGTTTGCTGATCCTCCCTGTGCTTAATGCAGCTGGAAGAAACAAACTTTGTCACTTTGTTTTAAAGAGGTCATCCACTAGGTTTAAAAAAGTTAAAATAAAAAAAGTTTATTTTGTAATCCCCCCATGTACACAAGCACGTGTTGGGTGCTTGCGCCAAACACGTTGGCCATTGCCGCGTAAGCCACAGAGCAATAATTCTAGGGCCATGACTTACTGTTTAAACTTATTATCTGTAAAGGTTTTTAAAGAGTCTCCTATAGACAATTTTGGGAACCGTAAATGTATCTGCATTGCAAAAGCACATGCAATTATGACGTTTGACATGTTTGGTATCTACTCACAACCTCATCTTTTATACTGACCCACAAAAGTGGGTATTATATTGTGTTTCTGTGGCAAAAGCAACATGCTTAAATTTAATATAGCCCTCTACAGGGCTGCTGCTCTGATTAGCCACCATGAGCAGAGGAGTCACAGCTTACACAGAGTTAACAGAGTCAACTGAGAGTCAGTCACCCTTCCTTTATCAAGTATAGGAGAGTAACCATTTTGGAGGTAAAAAAGTATTAAAGGATACTACTACTTAGAAGCTAGACGCCCCCAATATCAGAATGCTGGTAGTATAAAAATGTGTGGTTAGAAGAGCTATAGATCAACCCCGTTACTGAGAGGCTCTGAAAAGAGTTCCTACCTGCAAAAAAAGTTACATTTCAGCATCCAATTTGCATTTATATCCAGCTTTCGAGTGGCACTCTACCAATTCACAACCAGTACTGTGGACTGGTGTTTGAGCAGATGGTATTCAACAGTCATAGGAATCGTAAAAATGTATACTAGCTGCAATGAGCAAAGAAGAAGCAAATCTTAAGGTGATTCTTTATACAAAAAAAGTAATTGCCTGGTTTCTTCCAAGGACACTAGCAGAGCTTCCAAGCCCTCAATAGTTGTGCCCTTATTACCAGTGTAAGCAATGGTGGTTAGGAGTGAGTACCAATTCTTGCCCAATAGTAAGAGCAGTGGATGCCTGGTACTTTCTTCCTTCATTGGTCCACAGAGAAGGGTGAAGTACTAGGCCCTTTCTCAGTTATTTTTATTTTTTTCAATCAAGCTGAAATGTCTTCTACGGAGATGAGCTTCTCCAACTGCTTGAGGTGCTAGTAATTACCACTTAGGAAATCAAGAAAAGGCCAAACTATCAAGAGATGCTCAAAATCAGGAAAATTGCTTACTATTTTTGAACCGTTCATGGCGAGCCATACAGTTTTTTGCTAATTTTAATAGGGTTAGGAAATAATTACTCTATCGATAGAAACTTAACCAGCAGTAGATACTCCAGGAAAAAATATCTGAGAGAAAGCATATCAACTAGGTTGGATATTTCAGGTCGATGGCTATTGTCTCCATCAGATACAGATATTGTCTGCAGAACAGACATGCAAGCTTGCAGGAAGGAAGGAAACGTGTTTGTCTTTGTTTATTGCAGGGGCGCCCACAATTTTTCGTCTGGAGATCTACTTTTCAAATGACGAGCTCAATGAGATCTACCAACGGAAAAAACACCCCTCCTGCGTTCAGGGGCGGGAGGGGGCATGGCACTGCAAGTCAATGGCACTGCAGCCATGCCCCCCACAGTGCGATCACACACACCCAGAACGTAGACACATTAGTGCATGCGTTCCAGTCCAGTGCGATCTGCAAAAATGCTGCAAGCACCATTTTTGCAGATCACACTGGATTGGAATGCAGGCACTAATGTGTCTGCATTCTGGGTAAGGGCGATGCCACTGCTGGCAGGGGCGTGGCTGCGGTGCCATTGACTCCCATGCACACAGGGAGGCGGCCACCTTGTGTTCCAGTGCGTTCTAGAGGCCGAACACTCTGGAACGCAGACTTTGTGGTGTGAACCGGCCCTCTCTCTCGGCTGCCTCTTCTCTCACTGTCTCTGCTTTCTCTTCTTACCTCCACTGCAGCAGCTTCCCAGCTCTCCTCTTGCGCGCTGGCATCCTGTCCTCCCGCAGTGGTTGTGTGGCCAGCGCTGCACACGGGGAGAGGTGTCCGTCAAATTCCCGTCTGTGGCGTTTGACACATTCAGCCGCACTAGCACCGCGGGAGGGAGCTCAGGTCAGTGAGCTGATCGCGATCTACCAGTGCTCGCTTTGCGATTGACTGGTAGATCGCGATCGACCTAAAGGGCACCCCTGGTCTATTGGATGTCGAACATCGACAACTAGCTTTAAGAGAAATGATCGGAATCAGAAATGACTACTTATAGTTCAATACATTTTAGAAAAGAAGCAGTGTTCTTTTACTCTATAAATCCACAAGCCCAAAAAGAAGATGTTATATTAGAATATTAATTAAATTAATTAATTTAATTAATTAATTAATTTAACTCTGCCTTTATCTATACTTACTATAAAAAAAATAGTTCAATGGTTATGCAGGTTTACAAGTCCAAATAAAAAAAAGTACTTTAAAAGTATTTGAAGTACAGACATATAGAGAATTTTGAATTTTCTAGCTCAGCTATAGTCATGCTTCAGTCTTCCTAGCTCACTGTCCTTTACACAATCACAAGTAGAACAATCGGATAACTTCGTGAAATTGTAACAAAGTACCACCCAAGTCAATAAGTGAGGTAAAAGAGTAAGTTAGACAGAGGATGGGCTAGCAGGGCGGTTGCATAGAACATTGGTCTTAATCTACCTCACCCACACAAGAAAGAAAAAAAAAACTGTCTTAGAGCAAAAATGAGACTTGTATGGTCCTGCAGGCGCAGACACACCTACATTCTACTAAAATAGGAAGCCGACACAAATCTATACGTCAACCTTTTCACTGTCTAGTTACTCCAAGAGGTATGATGCAAAACTTACATCTTGGTCCCCCCCCTGCAGCCTCAACTTGTACACTAGAAGGTCGGTAACAAGATCATGAGGTCTATTATACCTGCATGGTGCAGCTGCAGGAAGGGCCAGCTACCAGACACTTGGAGTGCAGTACAGTCGGCCTAACTGAACTTGTGCTACCAGCAATTTCTGTTTATATTGTACGTCGCTGCAGCATAATGTTATAAAAGTGAATGAAAGTGACGCCTTAATAAAATATTAAAAT